TCCTGTGTCCCTCCTGAATTCCCTGCCACTGGCCTGACGTGACAGGCACACTGAGCAAGTGGCCTGCAGAAGCTGGGAGACGCCCAAGCAAATCACTTCACTTTCATGGCCACTTATCTGTGAGGAGGAGCCAAGGTGAGGGAGAGGAGTCCCTTTAGTGACGGGGGTGTTCCTCTCACCCTGGCCCAGAAAGAAGGCCACAGGGCGAGAAAGGATGTGGTGAAAACTTGCTTTCCCTCTCGTCCTGGGGGCCTGTGCAGGGAAGGTCTTCCTTTGGAACACATGCTGTGTTATCTCAGTGGCCCGAAGTCCTGTGGGCAGTTACGGTCCACGGTTCTGCAAATCACAAGGTGGCCATCTTCAGACAGGACCCCAGACTGAGCAGGGGCTGGTGGGAAGGGGGCACCCAGATTGCCCTTCTCTGTCCCTACTTGAGCCTGGGACTTGGAAGCTCCCTGTGTCTTTCTGGAACCACCATGTTTTGTGTCCTCCTCCAAGTCCTGTCTTTCGGCCTCTCCTCACTGCATGAGACATGAGACCGGATTGTCCAAAAAGGCCACCTAAACTCACGCAATGGAGGTTTCTCTGTGTTATGAGGAGGGTCTGTGGGGGAATGTAGATGATAGGTAATGGTGGGAATTCTTCCCTGTTCTCATAACTTTATTAAAGGGACAAAATTTCTGGAGGAAATAGCTGGGTATAAGTAGAAAAACCATGATTTTAGGTTTGGAGGCAGACACGTCTAGATTCAAGCCCCAGCCATGAATGAGTTACCTTAGGAAAACTGTGCCTCAGTTTTTCCTGTCTGTAAAATGGGCTAATTCTCCTTTCTTCACAGGGTTGCTCTTAGCCCATGGCCTACCTCATAGGAAATGCTTAATAAACCCCAGCAGCCTGGCCCCACAGAGCACCTTCTATTTGGCAGGCCTATGTTGGTCTCTCATTGTCACCATGTGGCCTCACGAGGAAGATGTATTTATGTTCACTCCATTTCCAGGCTAGGAGACTAAGGCTTAAACGGTTTGCCCAGGAGACCACAAGTCAGTATTGGGATCTGAGACTTGCCCCACTAGGGCCCTGGCCTGGGGCCACCATCAACTGCTTTCTGCTTCTTCTCTGGAGAGTCTGTGACCCGAAGTCCTGTGGGCAGTTACGGTCCACGGTCAGATGGACACTCAGCTCAGGTGACGTCTGGCAGGCTTGGGGGAGCCCCACCTCTCCTGGCGCCTGGAGGATCCCCCGAGGCTGGCCTGGCTCTCTCCCAGCCAGCTGTGGCCCAAGAGTGAGGCTCTGGAGGCCCTTCCCTTATAAGGACAACAACTGAGCTGTGATGAAACTTCTCTGCAGCCCAGCTGGGTGGGCGGGGAAGGGAAATGACAGGCTCCAAAGGCTACAGCTGAGCACTTGCGCGTCCACAGGAACTCGCCCATGAGCCTCCCCTCTCCCCTTCCTGTGTCTGTGCTGTGCAGATGGGGCTTTCCAGTGGGTCTCCCTAATAGAGGGGAGGAGGAGCCAGAGCCTGGGAGGCCAGAGCGGGCGAAGAAGGGAAGATGCAGAAACTGAGGCCTGGAGAGGGGACAGGACCCTTCCAGCAGAAAACACACAGTCTGGACTCCGAGCTGTAGCCTATCTAGCTCCAGCCCTGCCCTCAGACCATCTAAGGGCCCGATGAGGAGGTGGGAGGAGGCTCTTACACAAGTCCCCCTCTCCCTTTGGACATCTAGGGTTAAATCATAAAGGGATGGAGGCATGGGTGGGGCTGTCGACTACTCTGTTACCCTATCCTCCTCCTCCCATTGCAGTGCCCCTAGTAAATTGCCACCACCAACAAAATTCACCAACCCACTCTCCATCTGAGAAACTAATCATGGGCTCACAGGATATCAGCACTGATAAGAATCTTTAAGCCCATCTAATCCCTCCAGGATTCAGAGAGGAGGAAGTAACAGCTCAAGGGAAGATTTGAACTTGCCCATCTGTATTGTAAAATTAAAAAACATTACATATTTATGTTATATATACAAATCCTATGTAATAAAAGAGAAACATGGTAATTAGCGTACGACCGCTACCCTTCCCATTGGCTA